CCAGTAATACTTTGCCCGACTCGGGAATCGAACCCGAGACCCCTTACCCGTCACACTTGCGACCACTCGGCCAACGACGCAGACTTAATCTGATTTTGCAAATAAACTATTTTCATTTATTCATTCATTCGTGAATAAAGGGCGTAAAAATACCATTATGTTTAATATTACCAATTTTATACTTTACTTTAAAAGAAAGTGATGTTCTTAAAATAATATTTCTATATTTCTGTTTTATATTTCAGTGGTGTTAAACGTTTCCATCAATGTAAGGATGTAAGGTTGTTGAACTTTCCAAGTTACAAAGCGAAACAGATTTTGATAATAAATTTACAAAATGTGGATGGAATATTTAAGTGTTTTACTTTATATCTACAGCAAAAGAGTTTAATATTATTAAGCAAATATAATTAAGAGAGTTGAAAATACTTTTTGAGATTTTAGACCAAGTTCCAAGGGTAAAAGTGGTATCTAGTAAACTAGGGTAAAATTGATACAACAATTTTTCTACGTTTTTTTTTTGGTAAATACTTTCGCATATCGCGAGTCACTTGAGGGGCCAGTATTTGTCCAGTAGAATACCAGAGCAAGGCCCTGTCTTGCACATGCTGAACTGGTCCCATTTTACCGCAGACTTGGGAAATGAATATGTTGTATTAGTAATTATAAATTAACACTATAATCTGTGTGTGTCACCAGTTTTTAGCGAGTGAAGTAAAGCTTATTTTTCTTTCTTTTTCTCTAAAGCGCGGGCTTTGTATTATATGTATCACTCTTCCTGTATTATGGTATGGGTTATGGGTCCCCCTAAACAATGTTATGCTCCATGTCATTACCTACAGAGAAAAGTAAAAAGTATAACAAACTTTCATCATCATCATCAACAGCTTATAAATGCCCACTGCTGAGCAAAGCCTCTTCTCACACGGAGAAGGTTAGAGCATTAATCACCACGCTTGCTTAATGCGGGTTGGCGATTTCAAACTTATAATTAGAAATTATAAGTCCAGGTTTCCTCACGATGTTTTTCCTTCACTGTTTGTCAGTGGTGTCTAAATAATCTTAGAAAGTACATATAACTCGGAAAATGTCACATTGGTACTTGCCGTTGATAGGTTTCGAATCCGCACTCTCATGCATGAGAAGTGGGCGTCTTAAACCTCCGGGCCACCACGACACAAACTTTAATGTAACTTTTTTCAGTTTACGACCTCATTTCTTATTAATATCCAAGTTAAGCACCAAACTTGCGTTTATAATAAAGTCTGCAAGTCATATCACCTTGTATGGACCTTTTGACCCGGTTGGTCTCCGATATATTGCTCCGGTTCCCGGGTCCCGACCCTTGAAGGGCTTCGCTCCGGATATAAAGGTACGTGACTCATGCCATTATTGGGCCATAAACAGTAATTAGAAGGTTTACACTGATGTAGATTTGGAGGCCCGGAGGCCCACTAAATGTTTATTTTGTTGTCGAATTAAATTTAGAAATGCGAAGTTCCGATTTTGCTGTTAAATTTATTTTGCGTTTGTTTTCTTCGGTTGGAAGGTCTGCTAATTGATTTTCGAATAAAGGTTAGCAGTTGCTGATGTTTTTTATGTAAATTAGGCCGTAAGAATCTATTTGTTTATTATATAAAAAAACAAAATTCTTGTTTTGTTTGAAAGTTTATACTCCCGAGAGGGTCCCATTTTCATAGGGCCAGGATTTGATGATGGAATCCTAGGGAAACCGAGGGGACATTAGGGAGGGGGTAATTGTGTCTCCGGTAATCTCAATCATACGACGAAACACAACGCAAGCGTTTTCACGTCGGTTTTCTGCGATATCACTCCGGTTGAGCCGGCCCATTCGTGTCGAAGTATGACCTTATCCGAAAGTTAAAAATTCCACACAACAATGTCTAAAATGTTATCCCAACCACTCCACCCGAAGTGACATTTTGGTCCACCACTACCTCCGAAAGCCTGTCCCACTAAATTATAGATGCTAGAGTTGGGTAATACCCGAACAGATTGACGGGTGTCGCCGACTTCGGTCATTGCGGGTGCCACGGCTAGAGGGAGCCAGTGTCGTAAACGGGGCGACACTGCTGCGAAATGAAACATAAAGTAATCAGAAGCTCCGAGTAAACACGAGTAGGCTTCCTTGACCCGCCAGTCTCGGCACTTTGCCCCGCACGCTAATAAATTCAAAACTTTTGACGCGGGCTGCTCGACAAATCTGAGACGGGACCCTCCCTAATTACTGAGAGCGACCTGATATCCGGAAATGTCCATACTTCCAACATTTAACGCGACTATAAAGCTAAATTAACTTAATTATATTTTTTGGGTTTCCAACGGTTAATTGGAGTCATCTCTGGGTTGTCGGTAGTCCGCACCCCCAGCAAATTACTGAACGAAATATTGAATTGAAACGTCCGGCCGGTATACTCCCCGCGTCAAAATGGAAGTAATTCTGGATTCACATTTAAGTATTTTTTAAATGCAGAACGACAAAATTGTTCCATTTCCCGCGCTTTATTTCATTATGGCGACGCGCGACGGTGGAGTTAACTGGCTTATATTTATTTCAATTGCGTTTTTTTTTCGAGTTACTAAATAAGTACCATTCATTTTATTTAAGCTGAACGTTACTTGTTAAATTAAATTAATGAACTTGTTAAGTTGTATACCAAACTTGCAGAATTATTTTAATAATTAGTACAGTTTAACAGTAAATAAAAGTTTTAAAGTCTTTTAATAGTAAATGTAACAGTTGTTAAGTTGTTGAGTTTTAAGGTTTATTTTAATTATTATTCAAACGAGTTTCAAACTAAGTTTTCTTCCAAAAAGTACGCAGAGGGCAGAGGGTGAGATGAAACTTTAGATTAATATGGCATTCAAGTATTTAAGGATTTAAGATAACTTTGGGGAACACTTTGCCACAGATAGGTACTTTAATTTATGGTTCCGATTTCCGGCTCCAGGGCAGGAGATAATTATTGTTTGTTGTTCGATTTTTAAACTTTATTTTCACACATCATGGACACAGTTACAATGATATAATAATGGTAAATAAAATAACAGCTGAAAAGAAAAAATACAAAGCAACATTTACCTTCCCATTCTAAAAAAAACAAGCGTAGAAGACTGACGAGTAATGTTTTTGGGGTGCCCATTACGTCAGAGGTCGGTTTTGGGCTGTTGCTCTAGGAAGTAATTATCACCTTTATGCTACACGAAATAAGGTTTATGAACATTTTTATGAGTGTTAATAGACCTTATATAGGTAAAGAACAATTTGTCGATTAGCTTACTAAACATGAACGGAGATAAAAAGGATCTAGGAGTATAAATGTAAAATATATTATGCTTCTCGGAGTCAATAATTTAAATCAATTTTAGAGTGGAATTCTTTGCTGTATTTCCTGAAGGGTGTAACCTGGGAGTCTTCAAGGCCTGAGTGAATAGGTTGCTTATGGGACGATGTGCTCCATCGTAAACCGCATCATCGCTTACCACCAGGCGAGATAGTAGTCAAACGTCGCCCCACCAACATAAAAAAAAATCATATGAACACTTATAGCTATTTGAAAGCCGTAAAACCTTATTGTGTTTTGGAGGGCGGCTGGTGGTTCTCTGTGTAAAGTCGACTCTGGTTGAAATAATGGTTATGAGAAAGACAACTAATCTCTATTTAGGCAAAAAAATAATATAAGCTACTATTAATATGTATTGTTACTACAGCCTACCTCTGATATATTTGTTATCCTTACTAATATTATAAATCGGAAAGTGAGTTTGTTTGTTTGTTCCGCTTTCACGCCGTAACTACTAAACCGATTGCTTTGAATTTTTGCAGACGAGAAGTTAGAATTCTGGATTAAATAATAGGGTATCTACTTTTTATCCCGGAAAAATTTGATATTCTCGAGGGAAAACGAAATTATTGGTATAGATGGCGCTGTGTGTATTGGTATATGTCACATTGGCTTTTTATCCTTTTGTGACGCGAGCGAAGCCGCGGGTAAAAGCTAGTGTTTTATAAATACAACCAAACACAGTACAAACATATTTATTGAGTGTCAAAGTTTTATCATCGTTATTCATCTGTCGAGGTCACATCAATATTGATTGTACAAGTTGATAGGTAAGTTAGCTCTCCGGTGATTAATCAATTACTTTCAAAAGTAATCAATAACAAAGCGAGTGAGAGTGAAAAATTACCCTTTATAGGCATTTCGTATTTTAGACATTAATGTGTTTCCTAATAGTTATTTTAGTAAGGGATGTAATGACGTATGCTAATGGCCATGACCCTTTAGTGAAATTTGAACTTAAGAGAAAATCTAAATAGGTATCTAGATGTTTAAATGTTTAAGTGTGGGAGAGTCATGCTTCGTCACAAATGGGCCGGCTCGAACGGAGTGATACCATGGCCTTACAGAAAACCAACGTGAAACAACGCTTATGTTGTGATATGTGGTGTGATACTAGAGGCTCAATTACTCCCCTCCCCGACATTTCTAATCACGGAATCCCCAACAATCCTCAAATTCCTAATCCCCAAAAGGTAACGGTAACGCACTTGTAACGCCTCTGGTGTTTCGGGTGTCCATGGGCGACGCCGATTGCTTATCATCAGGTAATCCGTTGACATGGCTTATCCAAAAAAAAATAGCCAAGGTCATCAGTTTCCACACGATTTTTCTGTATTGTGTAACTTCAAAAAATTACAATTGGCATGTACTTGCCTGGTTTCCATCTTATATCCACGTGCTTCACATTAATGAAGGCTTCAGTTACGACATTTTACTTATAGAACTGATCATAATAAACAGATTCATCAATTTTTCAGTTTTCAAGATATATTATAGAAGTTTAAGTTTCCTACTTCTAAAATAAAAGTTGAATGATTCAGAGACAAAATAAATAGGCAAGCTTTTTGGTCTGAATGAAAGGATTGTCTAGAAGTCTAGACCGATTCTAGACAAATTGATATACCTACGAATAAAATGGCTGAACGAGGTATGTGTTCGATCTTCAATGGATCGCGCCAACCATTATTTTTGTTAAGCACCGTATTATTAGATACTGTTTGTACCTGTACAGAATTATAATGCTCTAATTATCGACTCTGTTACTCGAAAGAATGGATGTGTGTGTATTTATATAACTTGTTTTCGTCGGGTGATTAGTCTTAATGGCTAATCTAGTACTTTGCCTTGATTTAGACCCATAGGTCCTACATAGGAATTGGACTTCTTATTTACAAGTCACGCCGTGTTAGCAAAACAATTGATACTTCGAATAAATTACAGAACATGTGCGCATACTAAACAATATTATAGTATTCCACCGGGAACCGAATTCAATGTTCATTTCGTTTCCAGGAACAAAAAACGTGTCGTTAGCTATTCACATACATTTCTACTATAAATAATAAACCGCAAATATATTGCTGTACTGTACCTACAGATATTTTAAACACGGGAAGACAGTACACACGACTACATATCAAGATATAAATACCAGTATAAATTGACAGCTGAATCTGTGGGGAGATCATACAAAGCGGGACCAGGATAAAGTGGTTACGCTTAGCTTGATGTGTTGCCATTTGTACCTTATACTCCTTATAGGCCGTACCAAAGTATGCGAGCAATATCGCAAGTCGCAACGAAGGGACTATTTACTTATGCATGTGCCTCATCCTTCATAGGGCACGCCAGTTTAAGGCACTCCAACACCCTTTATCAAGGTTGTAACTTAGTTTGCTGCCGTAAACGAGGGTTGGAGAAAATCTGAAAATTCCTAGATGTATGAGGGTCGTGTGAGGAGAATGTATGTGTTTTGTGAGGAAGGTATAAGTGTGGGGATTTGTGCAAGGATTGATCGCTTTGTGAGCTAAATGAGCTGCTGGTTTTCGCTGCTATAATAGCAATATTGTGTCAGAATTTTTAAATACCAAAACTCATTTAAGAGTGCGGTTGGTGTGGTGGTTGGGCAACCGGCTGCAGCGTAACGTGTACCAAGTTTGATTCTTGCACGGATTAATTCCTTGAGTGATCTACAAATGGTGTCATGTGCATGTATATGATTGTAAACGCACCCAAGAAACACGAGAAAATCTTAGTGTGGGGCAATGTAAAAAAAGCGTGTCCAACACATTTTCATTATGGTAACTGATGGACTAAATACATAGAAAGTTTCCTTGCCATACCTTATCTACGTAACATCACTTTTATCAAGAAAACCTTCATGATAAAACAATAAAAATAAAACGTTGGCATAATAAACTTTTGACTTAATAACGTTAGAACAATTAGTACCTATCATATTGATTCAAGTTAATAGGATTATATTCGTACGACTACAACACAACATTTACAAGACGGGAGCTCACATCATATTTTCAACCTTATCCTTCTTGTAATAAAATGGAAAATGTATTAAAATATTCTGACAGTTTGGTATAGGCTGATGTGCTGTTGTCTTTAGACGTAGTGTAGAAAGTAATTTAAATGGAAATAAGTTATTTTATAAGGCATCTCTGCTGCACTTACAACGTTAGGGATTTAAATAAAATGTAATTTGTGTCTATAACTTTGAGGTAGTAATTATACAGGGTAGGATTATATTACTACATGCTGTATATATTATGTATGTAGGTGTGTGTGTGTACCTATTATAGTACAGAATTAATCTTGTCTCAAAATACTATAGTTTAAAATAATTCATCTCCATTTTGTGTTCATGTACTGAAGAGTTTTAGGAATTATGCTCGTATGTGTGTTTTATTTGACTGTCGTCGACTTCTAAAAGTACTAGGTTTTCAATTCGTTTATTGTTACAACATTATCTAAGTACTCTATATCAACTTCTACCATAATATAAATACTTCGTATATCAAAGTATTCGTTTTACCTCGTCTTCATCAGCTTTATCTATTTAAAAATTCCGCGCCCCAAATTCAAGACGGTTTAATCAAAAACGCTTCCGAAATACGTTTCCGAAGTTTGATTGAAACTTGAAACAGATGAATCAGGAATGAACCCACACCCGTACCGTAGCATAGTACGGTGTCATTCATCAAACATTTGTCAAACTCCGTCCGTACGATCTTTGACAGTTCTTTTCTATTTTCAATGATTAATGTCTTAGATTTGGATTTTGAAAGTTTAGGCGATTACGTATACCTGATACGGCCAGGTATACCCTACTTAGGTACTTTAATTTTCTCTTGATGGACAGCTCATCAAGCTATATGGTACCCGTAGACACTACTACGCTCTACGCGCTACACTCTACGCACTAGGTACTACGTGCTCGCAGGTGAGTTCGTTCATTCGAGTACCCAGTGACTCTCTCATTGTTTTCTGGGATTGACTGTGTGGTTTTAGTCGGTAAGAGTCCGACATAACCTGCTGTCTGACGCTCATTGTCTAGACAAAGGGTATCCATGAGGATTTCCACACGTTAAAAAAAAAAAAAAAGGTACTACGTGCTACGCCCTATTCGCTACTCGCTACGCACTACGCTCTACGTGCTCCACTCTACGCACTAGGTGCTACGTGCTACGCTCTACGCGCTACACTCTACGCACTAGGTGCTACGTGCTACGCTCTACTCGCTACGCACTACGCTCTCCGTCGTACACTACGGACTAGGTGCTACGTGCTACGCTCTTCTCGCTACGCACTACGCTTTACGCGCTACGCTCTGCTTGCTACGCTTTACACTCCACGCGTTACGCCCTACGCGCTCCGTCTTACCTGTTACACTCTACGCGCTACGCCCGACGCACTACGTCTTACCTGTTACACTCTACGCGCTACGCCCGACGCACTACGTCTTACGTGTTACACTCTACGCGCTACGCCCGACGCACTACGTCTTACGTGTTACACTATACGCGCTGCGCCCTACGCGCTACTACTCTCTATGCGCTACGCTCTATCTATATGGTACACTTTGCGCTGTGTTCTACGCGCTATGGTTTAAACCATACCAGACGTATGTAGTTATATGAAAATGTTTTCGGGATAGTTCTTAATTATAAACCACACAAAGCATCAAAGAATAAATACAAAAATATTCATATATCCTGCGAATGATAGTGAAGCAGAAAGTTAATAAAGTTGAGGAGGTTTCAAAGCGATTGTGGTTCCCGGGTCGACAACGCCGGATAGTTTCAGCGAATTGTTCACTGTTTGGCTAGGTCGGGGGTTTTTCTTACTTGTAAGTATTTAGTTTACTCATCGATTAGTAAATCTGTTAGGATTACTTAGTGGTTAGATTTAGGTAGTGGTATATTTTGGCTTGCTATTGAATGCTTAGTTCTGATGAGTTTATTGGAAATATTTATTTTAATTTTCACCCGCATTCGCCCTACTTTTACTCCCTTCTGCTTTCCACGTCATATATACCTAATAAATCTTCTTCAGAAAATTCCATCACACCAACCTTGGAAACATAAAATGAAAGACAAAATTGAGTACCTATCTAAACAATTTATTATTCGACATGAGAACGGATCAATCTTCGTAAATAAATTGAACACTCCCACGCCCCAGTCTAATGTATTAAGGATTTGAGCGATAGATTATCACAGTCTTCTATCACAAAGACTAATTTTCATAAAACAATATCTAGAAGAACCTGTAGGTACAGCTCATCAAAATACCCTTACTACCAATTTCTTTTATTACACTTTCATCTTTATTACAAAGTGACAAGGTTGGAAATCCATTGAAGGTATTTGACCGTGTAGTATAGGTTGATGCGCGACAGTGTAGCTAAAATCTGCATAATATTGTAAGTATAGTAGGACGAGCGCCCACTAATACTCTGGAAGTTGGTCTCGACAGTTCGCCCACAGGGAATAGTTTTAGAGATTGTCGATTTAATATTATATTCAGTTTTAGTTATTTTTGAAGTTGTTTGTTATAAGTATTAGTATTACTGGTCGTTTTACTATCTGAGTTTTCAAGCACGGAGAGACTGAATTTACCATTTTAGATGTGGAATGATTGAAGTTGACCTATATAATAGGTAGAATCCTAATGATATTCAAAATGGCCCGTAAAATAAAATCGTTTCATCATATCTGTCTTTTGAGCTTCACCGTCATTTCAGCTTACCTCTTCGATAAAACGTCTTGACCATTACGTTATTTAGTTACATCTAACGTTTGCTACGTGTATTTCTATAGACAGAACGAACCAAACTCGATTTATTGGTCACAATCCAATTCTAAGCGCGGGACTCCGGATTTTCATCCGAAAAGTCCAATTGCAGTTCCGACTCGAGGCTCGATCGATCGGATCGAATCAGGCTTTTCGAGCATTTCCCGTACATTTATCTAGAACGCTATATTTTCACAGCAATATTGAAAAAAGGGTTGCTGAATTTTTTATGTCATTGTTTCAATGAAGAGTAGTGTAGGGTCGGTACGTAGATATTTTTATTTCGAAGTGAGAATGTGTTACAAAGAGTATTAATTCTAGTAACTTTGATATAGACAGCTTACGCACAATACTTAAGTACATTTTCGATCATTGAAGACATTTCATTATTGTGTTTGTATATCTTATGTTAAATTAACTAAAAATCGCCGGTTACTCAAGTGAATATAGGGGTACTGAGAAAAGCTCTACTTGTTTCGAACTATAGAGAGGTTCTTCCACATGGCCGTGGCGATGTCGCGCAGCCTACTCGAAACTAGTAGAGTTTTTCTCAGTATATTTACGTGAGTAACCCGCGATTTTTAGTTAATTTAGTATGTCTCATGATAATTATTAAAAAAACATATCTTATATTGGTGTTAGAAAACAAAGTACAAAAATTAATTTTATTCTAAATCCATTTTATTCTAAAACAATTTCCTTCCGCAACAAACTAACTAAATAAAAAGGAAAACATCTCGTATAAGTAGCTGGATATTGTACGTACTTGTGGACTCGTTCAGCTCGCTAATGAGACTACTAGAGGCCACTAGCTGGGGAAGTATTCTCGGCGGGAAATGCGAACAGAATTGCGTAAGAAGTAGCAGCAGTCGGCCATTACGGGCCATTGTCTACCAGCGCAGCCAGTACCCACTCACCTCACTTACTACCACGAAATGACTAGCAAATTTTTTGTTTACATTTTCCTCTCCCCCGTCGCATCGACACGAAGCCAGTATTCACATTTGATTAATTAAATATTTACGTAATTCTGTTATGTATGTCCCTCGTTCATTTTCGTTCTCCAAAACTAAAAACGGACCAAAATTTCATGACAGTTTGATAATTAATTCGAATTGGCCCTGAATTCAATTAACGCTGTTATGTAGGAGCATCTCATGACGAGACACTGCTCAGAATTTTTAAATAGGCACCTATATCTACTGAAGAAATGTGAATTATGAGGGTTTTATTGGGTAGAAACCTTTAGATCTTTTAATATTGTTTAATACATTGAGAAGTTTGTATATTATATATTCGACGTTATTTATCGCGGGTTCGACCGCCCGGAAAGAAATTAATTTGTGTACAACCCCCTGCGAGCGGGTATGTTTTATGGCCCCTCGGGAACCGGCGGGTATCTTCGCGAATCTGTTTTAAACCGTAAGATTTCCCAAGTATTTTTGAGCGCCGCACTTTATTCCTTTGCGGGAAATGTGTATAAACTTTTTGGCAGTTTTGGTTATTTAATATGTGGCGACACATGTCACAAACTAACGGATGACATTATACCTCTAAAATCCTACATCGCACATGCAAAGTTTACAAAAGAATTAACACGGATAGAAAATCCCAACGAACAACACTCGGGCAGAAAGCCCGCCAGGCACGATCACCTCATATGGTCGGAGGATCCTCCTTTTCCAATCTTAGGGAACTATACTCTCTGTTCCCTAAAAACTCTTGAAGGTATGAATGTGATGGGTTTTATAATCACATTTGCTCTTTTAAACAATGTTTCATGTTGACGCGTGTCTGAAATCCATTAACGGATTACTAACGACTTTGGACGGTCCACTCGGCTACTATATTAGCCACGGTTAAATGCCACCACTCTATTCAAGGGATGAACGATTAAGTGTCGCCTCTATGGATCGTTATGTAAAGTGTTCCACGAAGATTCATACCTAAGTAGCTATTCTATTTATACTTGTTAAAACATCTAAATGCCATTTACTTAGTAAGTTTGGATCTTGTAAAGTGGTTTGTAATTTTGCATTTATATGTATGTACATAAAGCATAAGTAATATTTGATTTGGAAACCTTTTGAAAAGTTCTTTAATAGAAAGTATTTTTTTGTTACGCATTTTCTTTTTGCACATAAAAATGGTTTAATAACATCTTGTACGTAGTAGTTTTTAGTGGTTTTTATATATCTAATCTCTACGTGATCAAATGCGGAATATCAGAATTTATCGACTAAATACCCCTTGACCTCTAACCATAATAGCCTGCATAGCTAACTCGACGTAGAGTGTGATCTATCTGGTCTATGCGTACACATTACAGGGGCCGTAACCTCTCACGTGGAAAAATTGCGAGACCCTTTATAGCTTCGCCGGGCCACGGCAGTATTCCAACACTATAACGTCTGAAAGCCATTATTAATAACTTAAACTTACTAAGAAAAACAACTAACTTACTGTATTTCAAAAAGGTCAGTTCGGTGTCAAATATTTTTTTTGTAACAGCGCCGGGTCAGCCGGGTCACACAAAACAAAGAGGTTTAATGCGCGACTATATTAATATTATGTTACCATAAACACGCAAGTCTAATGTTGAGTTATTTTCGTCGTCATATGATCGTAATCTTAGTATTAAATGTGGTTTTACTGTTTCCGCTGAAGGCGCTCGCCCCGGACTGAATCAGCCGTGACCGGACCAGTTAGTTTCGTTTATCCTTTGTGTTTGCTAATAAAAGAGGTTTTGTTTGCTTCTCGTTAGAACTTATAAAAGAAAGGGTTTGTTTTCAAGGCTAGGCCCTTTTTTAGAAGACGGTACAGATTTAATAAAGTCCTATAGATTATTTGACGTTGCCGTATATGCTTTTCTGAAATTTTCTCGCATTTTCATAAGTTATTCCAGTCGCGTGCCTGGGAGCATTTTAAATATCACTTTGTTATGTAAACATAAAAGGTAAATAGGCAACGTAGCCATTAGAATACGGATGAGATCGTAGAGAGTTGCTCTACGAATATGGGTTGCAATAAAAATCATAACAAAGACATTTCGAGAATTTTCGTGAAGGAAGATTCCCCTTGTAACTTTCAAAACACAACATTAAGCCCGGGAGTTCCCAACCTTTTAGCAAGTTATGGCGTAACAAATTGTGCGATTAAACTAATTGAACCGTTTGGGTGAGTCGGACATAATGTACGCTTGTACTCAGCCCCCAGGAGCCAAGTGTAATTTCCCATAATAGACCCTTCTGTACGTTTCCGCGTAATTAATATTATAACACGTGCCGAAGTCAATCAGAACTTCTGAATAGAGGAACTGTATAATTCAATGCTCTGTTGTTATTTTTTCATCACGTTTTCGACCGCGCGTTCAAAGTTTTGATTTTCCGCGTTCATAATTTAAAGCAACTAGGGAGTGAAAAAGTTTCTATAAATTAGTCGAGTCGCCCCGAGAGTGAGAGCTTAGCATATTTTTTAATTTCCGAGCTGTAATTTGCATAAGTACTGTTAGAAGTTTTATTCTTTTAGGCGAAAGAGCAAATGTTACAATGCCATCTGTTTCAGTGTTTAATCACGAACATTTTCGTATTATTTTTTAAATCCGAATTATGTATATTTGAATAATAAATCGTTTCCTGGACGTTTGTTGACACGTCACATATTTGAGTAACAATGTTTCGTGCCATAAAAGATAAAAACAAAAATGGGTTCTTGTTTATCTACCGACCTTCTGTTACGGGGTCACAATTTGAACAAACGAACAACACAATCGTGAAAATTGGAATAAAACATGAATTAGTATCCTTCTCTGATTGC